CGGACTAAATTCGATGTATGACTAAGAATAATTTTTTTTTATTCAAATTCAACATCATTAATTAGGAAAATTATTTATTGATTTATCATAATTGGTAGATTATCAATTTGTTCCTTGAGATATATACTTTTAGCACATTTAACCTTTACTTTAATTAATTAAAATGTATGTTTTTACTCCCATTATATGGAAAATATGTTATATTTAATCTATTTTAAGAAATACATTATCCTCAAATATGCAGTAACAATACGAGTTTAATATAACCTATGGATAAATTAAGTGATAAAACTATTACTATTTGTGGGGGATGCTATTTTTAATCATAATTTGGGTAACATCTTTGTTATACTAAAAAAACATCATGTTAATTGAACTTTTTAAATTTTAAATTCAATGTATTGCACAAAAAAAAAGGACCAAATTGTTGAGTGACATAACAAACACCTTGGCTTTAGGAATGGGTTCCAAATTAGTATTACAAATCCAGAAAATCTCTCTTAAAAATCAACAATTAACTAATTCTAATTAATTATTACTCTCCTTTCAATATCTACAGTAAAAGTAAAATAGTAAAAACTGGTCCTTCTTTTGAAGTGGATTTGTAATTATCGATCTGATATTCAAATTATAAAAATGAAAAAAATGATTAGAGAGTACTTTATTTTTTAATAGTTGGTATATTACACGATAAGAATAATATAAACACAAATAATACTGAGTGAAAGCAAATAAATTAGATGCAAAAATATTTTTTTAAAAAAATCATCCATAATGAGCGATTAGTCAAACATCTTTCTTTGCATAGAAAGTCATGATTTATTTTTCATATATTTATATTGAATATTAAATGTTTTTAATAAATTTTTCGACTTAGCCCTGTATCAACCAAACAAAAATGAGAAAATGTTGCATAGATTTGAAGTTGAGTCACTAACATATTATAAATTATAACAAAGAGAATCAAATAGATTTATTTGATATCTAAGAAGATATGATATCTGAATTATGATTTGCTTTATGTTTAATTAGCTTAATGATGCATCACATTTTTTTTCTCCTTTAAACTTTGAGTCACTATTGAAACTTTGAAATCTATTTTAAAAATAAAATAAATTAGAATAAAGCAGAGGACAAGTGGACAAGAGTTTACGTTTGAGTAGATGTGCTTGTAAATGCTAAGTTCTTATATTTAATATGTATTTTTTTAATTGTCAAATTTTAAATTTAAATCATGAATATAAAATTGTTTATATTAAAGAATTTTATATTTCTAATATGAGAGTATATTATGATAATAAAAGTGATGGTGGCGTATAAGCCTTTTATAAAATATAACTACACTTTAAACTCTTTTTTTAAAAAAAATATTAATTTTAACGAAGCTAGATAATTTTTGTTCAAAAACAATGTATTTATATTAAGAAAGAATGAGACATAAGGTCGGTTCACTTCCCTTAGACCGTTGAGGGTGGCTTTGAGTCAGACCTTTGTCTTCTTTTCTTTTTATTTTCAGCTTTATAATTTTTATTTTATTTTTGAATTTTCAAATTTGAATTATTTCTTTTAGTTCTCTTTTTTTTATTTGGGTCAAAATGGATGATAGTTTATAAATAAGTTGCAACTCTGACTATATAATATAATGCGTTAACAATTTAACTATACTTCAATTTCAAATAAGTTGGTAGAGAAAATATTTGAGTTAATGGTCAAAAATATAATTGAATTATCGAATTTTTGCAAGTTTCATACATTAATTGTCTATCGTTCAATTTATTAGTCAAACTATCACTTTATTTGTATTAACACACACCTAGATGTTGAGTTGGTTTATGCTCACTTATTGTCGAGTAGAATAATAATAGGCCAAATTAGGATCGAGGTGTGTTTTAATACAAAGGGAGTGAGTGTTTAGGAGGTCATTACAGATCATGCCACATAGGACTCATTGCAGATTGTTAGAGAAACTACTCAAGCTGAATGCACTTAGCAGAAAAAGTTGACATTGCAGAAATAACAAAGCTACATGTAAAGACACAAAGAATGATATACTATCTATACAATGGCCATATATTCACAATTGTCTCTAAGTTGAACCTATCTGGTGCTTTGAGCTAACATGTCTTGCAGGTTCATAGGGTAACACATAGGTGTATGCAGGCTGGACCAGACGTTGTCAGCGAGGATAGCATTCACAGCATCAGTCGGATGGAATTGATCCCACCAGATGTGGCTAGAGGCGTTACTGCACGCCATTTCAGGGGAAACACACATGATCCAACCTTTATATTCACCTAAACCACAGCAAGCCTCATCTGTCACATTGAAACCTATAATGAAAATTGAAAAAAACAGTTTGTCAGATTTGAACTTCTCGCCTGACATGTCCTGTGAAATGAGATCCTACACATTGCCTCACCATAACGGTTGTAATTCTGAATAATGTCCATTGAACCTTCAAATGCATCGCAGAATATGATAGTGGCATCAACAAGCTCTTCATTTAGTTCAGAAACCATATATCTTACAGCAAAA